TCTCTCTCTCTCTCTCTCTCTCTCTCTCTCTCTCTCTCTCTCTCATCTATGCATGTATTTATGTCTGCATGTGAGGGGGCACACATTGAACATATGATGTACATATGTGTGAAAGCCAGAGGTTAACATCAGGTGCCTTCTTCCTCTTCCATAGCTGTGTACTTTATTTACTGAGGCAGGATCTCTGAACCGGAAGCTTGTCCATTTCAGCTAATCTAGCCAGCTTACCCTACAGATCCCTGGTCTCTTGTCTCCATAGTGGTGGGATTATAGGCAGGCCACAACACCTATCTAACTTTTATGTGGGTGCTGGGAATATGAACTCTAGTCCTCACACTTTCATGGCAAGTGCTTTATCCACTGAGTCATCTCCCAGTCTAATGAAGATTATCTCTTTGTATTTTTTTAATTTCATATGTATGAGTGTATTGCCTGCATGTATGTAAGTGTCCTGCAGTGCCTGCAGAGGTTAGAAGAGGGTGTTGGATTCCCCTGGAACTGGAGTTATGGATGGTTATTAGGTGCCATGTAGGTGCTGGGACTCAAACCTGAGTCCTCTGCAAGAGCAGCCAGTGAATCTTCCCAATGAAGATTATCTTAATGAGTGACTTTTAAATAGCTGCAGAATATTCTAGTATATTGGTTATGTTTTTTAACCTCATCTATCTTTAATTAGAGTTCAATTAAGAACCTCTGCAAGTCAAATATTTTGACAGTATATAATAAAAATACATAATGAAAACAGGTATGGGGGCACAGCATATAACCCTATTATTCAGGAGACTAAGGCAGGAGGACTGTGAGTTTCAGGCCGCCTGGACTATACAGTGAGTTTCAGGCAAGCCTGGGATACATAGCAAAATTCTGTCTCAAAAACCCCAAAATAAACAAATAGATAAGAGGGGCAGGGGATAGATAGATTATTGATAGCTAATAGATGATAGATTTAGATAGATATAGATAGATGATGGTACATAGATATATAGGTAGATAGGTGATAAGTAGGTAGATAAATAGGTGACAGATATATGATAGATACATAACAGATGATAGATGAATAACAGATAAGTAATGCTTTGAAAATGTTAGTATTTGGTAAATATAAATGGAGAGCATATCAACATTTTGTGTTCTATTGTTTATACTTTCTATAATTAAAATATTTCACAATAAAATACATTTCAAAACTTCAGGGCCCTCCATTCCTGAAGTACCCAGTGTCATCATCTTGGCGTCCTCTCTACCAGCCCTCCTCTTCCTCTACTTTTAGCTGAATCTACCATCTTTGGTACCAGGACTTAAGGTCCAAGACGCCTTAGCCAATTGCATTTTTACATTTTTTCTCACTTCTCTCTCAGAATTATAATGGTATGGTATACTTTTCTTTTATCTCCAATGTAAATGCAAAAATTTTTAATGCTGATAAAGTAGATGTTTGCGAACCCACCAGGCACTTTTTTTTTTTTTTTTTTGTCTTTTTGAGTCAGGGTCTCCTTGTAGCCCCAGCTGGCCTGGAACTCATTATGTAGACCAGGCTGGCCTTGAACTCACAGACATCAGACTGCCTCTGCCTGCTGAGTGCTGGGATTAAAGGCATGCACCACCATGCCCGGCTCTGCCATTTTTGGTTGGGCGGGGCCTTTTTGAGACAGGGTCTCCCTGTAGCCCCAGCTGTCCTGGAACTATGTAGACCAGGCTGGCCTTGAACTCACAGAGATCCACCTGCCTCTACCTCCCGAGTGCTGGGATTAAAGGCGTGAGCCACCACACCCAGCATCTGCCATTTATTTTTAAATATTTTTGGAGCTCTATCACATGCAAAGAAATTTTCCTTGTTATCTATGGTGACTGCCCACCAGTTGGGGAATTGCCTATGAAACTGCCTGCTAATGATCTTCAAGATTTAATGTTCTGAATATTGGACTCTCTGGAACTCATTGGCTACAGAGGCTCAGTTAATGCAGAGAATGTTTTCTAGAAACCTCAGTGAGCTTTGAAAAAGGATTTATTTACTCATGCATGCAAGTCATTTCAACACAGTGTGAGCAAGACTTCAGCTACAAGTCATTTTTATTATTCATTGGAACTGGATTTATGGATTCCTAAGGGGCTTAGGAAGCAACAGCCAGCATCTGGCTAGAGTGCACATAGACATTTCCAGTTTGTATGCCGAGCTCCACCCATCAATCACTCCCGCTAGATTGTTTGAGGGGATGCCAGTCTCTGAGGGATTCAAAAGTACATCCTGACCCATAGTGTTCCTGGGTCAATGGCCTATTTGTTTGTTTAGTAAGGCTGGCCTGCCTTGCTGTTCTCCAGCTTGAGTCAGTAACATGCTCAAACAAATGGAATTTCTGAGAGCCAAGTTAGCACTGCTGTTAAGAGGTAAGCCTGGCATTTCATAGCCCACTTAACTCCTAGACTGCTCTTAATGAATCTACCTAATCAGACCAACTCAGGTACAAAATGGCTTCATTACTAGTATGAGGCAGACAAAATATTAGCATCTGGTTGTCTGGCTCTACCATTTATCAGCTGCAGGACTTAAGTTACTTGGGTTCCTATCTTCTCTGTAAACTACTGAAAATAAGCATATGCATCTCTGAACCTGTATAACACAAACACACAGAGTATACATCTCACAAAGGATTAAACTAGCTAATAACTGTCAAAAAATTCTCTTTTTCCAGTATAGGTGCATATCCATGAGTGTGTTGAGGCCAGAGATCAACATCCATCTCTTCCTCAATCACCTTATTTTCTGAAACAGTCTCTCAAGAAACCTGGAGCTTGTTGATTCGACTAAACTGGCTGGCTAATGAGCTCCAGGGATCCTCCTGTCACCACCTCAGAGCACTGGGATTACAGACACACTGCTATGCTCAGTTTTTACATGAGTTCTGGAGATCTGAACTCAAGTTTTCATGCTTGCATGGCAGGCACTTTACCAGCTAAGCACAAAAGAACACTGGCAATGCTGAGATTTCAGTGATTTTTAGTTAATGATCTTGAGACTTTTTGTTCTCTATCAGGCCTCATACATAGAGAGAAAAAAAAATTTTTGGTCTTTTTTGAGACAGGGTCCCCCTGTAGCCCCAACTGTCTTGGAACTCACTATGTAGACCAGGCTGGCCTTGAACTCACAGAGATCCACCTGCTTCTGCCTCCCAAGTGCTGGGATTAAAGGCGTGTGCCACCACACCCTGCAAACAAATTATTTTTAAGTGTTCATTTGAACTGGATCAAGTTTTATCCTAAGGAGGAGTAAAATCTCACTGGGATTACCATAAACAGGTGCCAAGACTACACTATCCCAAGAAGTCAATATTCTCTTTCTAACCTGCATCCATTATCAAAAATAAGTTAGCTTTCTCCCTTCAAGACTTTTGCCTCTGTGTTACTCAGAATCTGCTGAGCTGAAAATCTTCAATTTATTCTGCCTGTGATTTCCAGGATTCCAGGTTATCCAAAACTGTTTTATTTTAACAATGTTTACATACACAAGTCACATTCCATCAGCCTGGTTAGCTCAAATATTTATGCACGAAGGTAGGATGAGTCTGCTAGCACCCCAATACACTTGGAAAGAAAATGTTCTAAGGAAAGCTTTGCTTTGAACCTTGGTAAGCACTGATATTCAATGACTGTTAAAGGGACTTAATCAAACATTTTGTTGACTGAAGTTCATTCCATCCTATGGCCTTTCCATTTCCCAAAGGTCTTGAGACAGAATTGCCCATGGTATTCATCTTAGTACCTAACCAGTTGAGGCACTCAGAGTTCTCTCTTCAAAATGTTGTCTCATTCACAGGAGACTGTTCAAAGTCTCACTGGGCTCCAGGAGTAGTGTGAGTGCCCACAGACCCAGAACCCTCCACCCAGTGTCAGATTCAACTGTCTTCATGTCTTGGATCAGGCTGGCCAGCCCTGGTCCAGCTGTGAGCTCATCCTTTGCATATCATTTCCTTGCATTGCTTTCTTTTTTTTTTTTCTTTTTCTTTCGAGACAGGACCTCTCTAGGTAATCCTGACTGGCTTTTTCTTACTAAGTAGCCAGGTGGGCTTTGAACTTCCATTGCTCCTCTTGTTTCTGCTTCTCAGGTGCACACAACCATGCCTGAATCCCATTTCCTCACTTCCTACAGGCTCAGGTAGCCACGTGGGGAGAAGGAAGGAGCACTCCTGGCCTGACTCCAAGGACACCATCCCAGTCATCCTGAAAGAATGGACTGAACAATAGCCAGCAGGGAAAAGTTTCCCTGCATTTGAAGTGTGGGATTAAACCTTAAGCATCTTGCTCTGTCAAAAATGTTTGAGTGGGCTCTGGGCGTGGTGGTGTGCATCTTTAATCCCAGCCCTCAGGAGGCAGAGGCAAGTGGATCTCTGCAAGATCAAGGTCAGCCTGGTCCACATAGTGACTTCCAGGCAGACTGGGACTAGGGAGACCCTGTCAAAAAAAGATAAAATGTTTGAGTGGAGCTCAGGAGATAGTGTAGTTGGTAAGGTGCTTGCTTTGCAAGCATGAGGATCTGAGTGTAATCTCCAGATTCCACATTAAAAAGCCAGTTGTATCGGTATGCACTTATAATCCCAGTGCTAGGGAAGAAGGGACAAGTGGGTCCTTGGGGCCTGATGGCCATCTAGCATAGCTAAATTGAAAAGTTCCAGGACACTGAAGGACCCGGTCTCAAAAAACATTCTGGAAGGCTCCTGAGGAACAACACCCTAGGTTGTCCTCTGGCTTCTACATGCACATGCACACACATGAACACATACACATTCACATAAAAAAAGATTGAGTGATAGATGTTTCCTGTGACTTCTTTTGTCACACAAAATATTAAACTCATCAACCTCCATGGTTAATTCTGAGAGTTCTTTTTCTTTTCCAAGCAGAGCATAATTGGTCAAAGAATGTTTTGGAGAGCAAGAATCACCTCCAGAAGTGTTTGACCTTATTTATTCGGATCAATGTAGGGTTAGTGAAAAGCAGTTTCCCCAGACAGTACCTTACATTTGCTGGTTCACCCAGATAACCTTCTCGATCCCATTGCTTCTTTGAAGGCGGCCGAGAGGCTGAACTGTTCTCTGTTTGTGCATCCCTGGGACATGCAGATGGATGGACGAATGACCAAATACTGGCTGCCTTGGCTCGTAGGTTTGTGTCCAACCAGGGTAGGGAACACAGCATCAACTCTTGGAGATTTTTCCACTCATCTGTGGAACTCTGTTCTATCAGAAAGAAAAAGTATAAATATATAATGAGATTGAGAGTAATAGCAACTACCATTGATTGGGGTCTTTCTCAAACAAGTGCTGTATGTATGGCCTAGTTATCCAAATATGACCATAAACAAATCACAGAGGAAATCACATATTGAACTGACACAGTTAAAATTGTAATAACAGCTTTACAGATGGAGAAACTGAGTCAAGTAGTTTTATTGTTAACTAAGATGCACAGTTAACAAGAGAAAATGGAATTTAACAGATCTGCCTAACTGCGAAGGCACTTTATTATACAGAGCTCCAAATAGGTGCCAAAAACAGTAACCATGTCTGTGTTGCAGGGGTTTTATTTAGAAGCTGATAATGATGTCAGGTGTTATAAATAGGAAACTTGAAATTATCAGTAGAAGGTCAATTTCTACCATCTAAGTGTGGGAAGCTTTGGACTGCAGAAGACCCATGCTTTCAGTGCACCTGTTATTTGTTGAGCTCTTCCTCCCTTTGCCTCCTGCACTATTTAATCAAAGTTCTGCACGAGAGTGAGGAAGAGAGAAAGAGGGGAAAGATCCATTTGCCCCACTCATCTCTCATAAGTTCTAGTAAGAAGGAAAACAAGGAGCACTGTACAATCTGCAGCAAGCCACTTCACCTCCCTGGGCTCCAGTTTCTCATCTGCAAACAGTGAGAGCTGGTCTGGATTTCTTCAAAGGTCTCTTTCTGCTCTGACACCTTGTATGTTCCTGTGATTACTCCAGACTATTTAGTGAGGCAGCTTTCTATCCACTTCCATCCGTGCTTCTACTAATTCTTGCTTAAGAGCTTGATGCTGGGCTGAGGATATGGCTCAGTGGACAAAGCACTTGCTGTACAGCATGAGGAACAGAGCTCAGATCTCCAGAACCCACGTAAAGCAGGACAAAGCAACATATGTCATAATCCCAGCACACCTGAGGCAAGAGAGAAGACAGAGAAAGGAGAATTCTTAGAAACTTGCTGACAAGCTAGCCTGGAAATACAAGAGATCCTGTCTCAAACAAGGTGGAAACAAAGACAAACCCCCAAGGTTGTTCTCTCACCTCCACACACACTACATTGCACTACAGCAGGCACACTTGCACACGCATGCACACACATACATACATGCATGCACGCATGCACACACACACGCACACTTTTTTTTAAGAGGAACTGGGCGTGCCAGGCATGGTGCTATACACCTTTAATCACAGTATTCAGGATGCAGAGGCAGAGGCAGGCAGATCTCTGTGAGTTCTGCGTCAGCCTGGTCTGCATAGCAAGTTCCAGGTCAGCCAGGGTTACATAGACACCCTGTCTCAAAAATAAAAGATGGAAGTAGTGGTGAGATGGCTCAGTGGGTAAAGGCTCTGACTACCAAACCAAATAACCTGAGTTCGAACCATATGGTAGAAGGAGAGAACCAATTTTTTCAAGTTATCATCTGACCTCCACACATACACCATGGCATGTGCATGCACACAATGTGCACACACGCACACACACATACACACACAAAAATAAATAAATAAATGTAATTTAAACTGGCGAAGATCCACCTGCCTCTGCCTCCCAAGTGCTGGGACTAAAGGCATGTGCTCCACACCTGGCTAATAAACGTAATTTTTACATTTTTTTAAAGACTTGGTGCTGTCCAGTTTCTTAGACAACCTCATTCTGATTCATAAACATTTTACAACTCTCACAAGTTTATTTTGTGTTGCAACTTTCCACATGAAAAAAAATGTATGTAGTACATGTGCCTCTATCCCCATCAGTCAGGCCTTGTACTAAGCACTTAGGAGATAGACAACAAAACAACTGTCCTCATGGAACATATGTTCTAATTAGAGGAAGACGATAATCCAGTACATGAGTCATGGACAATAGCATGGGCCAGTTTCAGAATAATGTTATGAGTAATCATCAGCAGATGGGGAGATTCCTGGCAAAAAGGACCATTAGCCAATTCATTTTAAAGCTATAACTTGGGAGTTGGGCATGATAGTACACTCCTGTAATCCCAGCATTTGGGAGACTAAGGAAGGAGGATCAGGAATTCAAGGCCAGCATTGGCTACATAGCAATTGGAGGCCAGCCTAGGCTCCTTGAAACCTTGTCTCAAACTAACAGATAGATGATAGATAGATGATAGATAGATAGATAGATAGATAGATAGATAGATAGATAGATAGATAGATATGCATATATCTATATGTCTTGGACCATGGTATAAAGAATATCTTGTGAGGCTATCCATTCAACTGATTAATGGAACAGAGACTCATAGAGGACCAGATGGAAACAGCACTGTGTGTTACCCTGTCTTCAAGAAGCTCCCTGATGGATACGAATCCACCATGCTCCCAGAATTCCAAGGAGACCAGAAAGCTAGGTGCATCTGGGTTTGTGGGGTAGTGAGGGGGCAGAATGAGCATACAGTGAAGTCTAACTGGTGGTCAAGATCTCTGGATCAGCCATCTAGCAATGTAGCCTCGAGTAGTTCCTTGGGGTGAGGGCATCAGACAGGGACCAGCCACTTCTTCTGGGAGCACAAAGCACTTTAATTAATTCACATCAACCCACTTGTTTTTCAACACTGTTTCCAAGAGGCAGCAGAGACTTGGCAGGACTGACAGTAATGGTTAATATTTAAGGAGCTATAACTACGTACCAGATATTATTGCTGAATCTCAACATTGGCAGGAACCAACCATTATCCCCTCAGTTTACAGATGAGGAAACTGAGACGCAACAAGGCAACTAACCTTTACTGAACACCTCCAAAGTGAAGTTATAATCAGGAACTGTGCCGACATCATTATTTGCTAAACTTTACAGAAGCCCTACAAGACAAGTAGTGTCCTCTGGTGACAAAGCACAGGCTCAGAGACATCAAATAATTTACCACAGGCCAAAGGCAAAAAACTGCAAGAACCATTGTTCTTCCTGGAATCTATATACTCTGCTTGTCCCTTCTGCACCCATTACTGAAAGGAGAGGAGCCGAGAATTTAGCTCAGTGGTAGAGCACTTGCCTAGCAAGCACAAGGCCCTGAGCTCGGTCTCCAGCACCACAATCAAAACTGAAGGAGAATCAGTGTTATCAAGGCCATTTCCAGGTTCCTGGCCTCTTATCCAAAAAGTTGAAAATAAGGGCTCACAAAAATTTGTAAAAGAAATAAGATATCTTTATTGGAACCAAAGCAACAGTGCAGAATAAAGAGGGTTACACTGTCAAGATTGACAGCTGCCACATGAGTAAGAGTATTCAAGGGCTCCAAGCTAGGGCCTAGTCTCTCAGTCTCTCTCCTCTCTCTCGCTCTCTCTCTCATTTTAAATATTTTATGTGTATGGATGTATTGCCTTTATGTGTGTAAGTGCACCCATATTTTGCAATGCCTGCAGAGATCAGAAGAGGGCATTGGATCCCCTGGAACTGGGGTCATGGATGGTTGTTAGTCTCCATATGGGTTCTGGGAACCGAACTCAGGTCCTCCGCAAGAGCCACCAATACTCTTAACTTCTTAATCACTGAGCCATCTCTCCAGCTGTGTGTGTGTGTGTGTGTGTGTGTGTGTGTGTGTGTGTTTTGGAGACAGGGTCTCCCCTGTAATCCTAGCTGGTCTGAAACTCCCTCTGTTTCCCAAGTGCTGGGATTTAAGTTATGTACGACCACAACCAGCCTGGCTTCTCTTTTCATGGGGTTTAAAGGAACAAGGGGCTGGTTACTAAAGGGTGTAGTTTAGGTGACTCTCTATTTTGATTGTCAGATTAGATCATATAATCATTTTCTTACTATGCATATTCCTTCCCATAATGCATCTGATTTTAAGTATATGCATGCCCAATTATGCATAGGCATAAGGTGGTAAATGGGATTACTAGGTTACTAAAGGACACAGCTTTGCCTTACTGTGCCTACCCAAAACCAGTTTAAGCTGAATTGACCCTTCTATTCTTCATACCTGTGTACATTGGGAATGCACTTGAATAAAAAGCTGTCTAAATTTGATTATTACCAGGGGTGGGGAAACTTACACCATTGTTCAGAGATGGGAGTACACGTAGCCCAATGTAGTGGCGGGGGGGCGGGGCGGGTTGAAGGGTACTGAGGTTGCTAGGCACATTGTTTGGAGAGAGGCATGTGCACATAGTATGTGCAAGTGAAAGAACCAGGCTGCCAAGAGCACTGTTACAAGAGAGAGGGTGCATAATCCAAAGCTAAGTGAGGGTCTAAGTTAAACTTCTTGTATACTTGCCTGCATCCGGACCAAATCCAGGTCTTCTCTTTCCTCAATGGTTCTATCTCCAAATAGCAACTAGGAACCTTTGGATGATTCTCCTTGCCTAAGTACTGCCCTGTATACATTCAAACCATGCCAGGGCTGAGGGACCCCATGTTTCACAGCACAGACAATTCCCCAACTATTAGACTCTGTTCTTCAGCTATTAATGTCACAGACCTTCTTGGTTAAGTGACAAGCTCTAAACTGTACGACTGTTTCCTCTTTCAGGAATGCCTGCAGAGACCACCACAGCCATTTGCTCCATGATCATGGGTGGAGTGTTTGAGAAATTTCCTAAACTCAAAGTGTGTTTTGCACATGGAGGTGAGACTCTATTTTATCAGTCAGATCAGACTGGCCTAAGAAAATGCCATAGATGGTATGACTTAAGCCAACAATTATTTTCCCATGGTTCTGGGGATTAGAAGTTTAAGATCAAGGTACTGGTAAGATTGATTTCTGGCATGACCTTTGCTTCTATCACACAGACAGTCACTTTTTCCCTGTGTCATCATGTGGCCCTTCCTTTGTGCATGAATGGGTGAGAAGAGAGTGAAGATCAGGAGAAGGAGATGTTTCTAATGGTTCTCCATCTTCTGTTGCATGCATTTTATTTGTGTGTACATGTAGGTGTGGATGCATGTTGGAGTGCAGGTGGAGGCTAAAGGACAAACTTGTATCATTTCTCAGGCACCATCTACCTTTTTTTGAGACAGGGCCTTTCGTTGAACCTGGAGCTTACCAATTTAGCTAGGCTAGTTGGCCAACAAGCCCAGAGATCCCCATCTCCACCTCCCCAGTGCTGAGATTATAAGTGTGTACAGCACCACCTGGTTGTTGTTATTTTTTACAAAGGTTCTATGATTCAAACTCAAGTCTTCATGTTTGCACTGCAGGTACTTTACCAACTAAAGCATCTCTCCATTTTCTTATGATGCTGAGCATTGAATCTAGGACCTCATACTACCAGAGCTACATTCAAGCTCTTTAATTTTTTTCAATATTTTATTACTGTGTGTGTGTGTGTGTGTCCTCAGTGCGTCTGTTTGTATATGAGTGTATGTCTGTATGATGTGTATGGGTGCCTGAAGCGGCCAAAAGAGGATGTTAGGTTCCCTGGAGCTAGAATTTCAAGTGGTTATGATCCACCGAACATTAGTGCTGAGAACTGAACTTGGGTCCTTTGCAAGAACACCAAGTGTTCTTAACTGCTAAGGCATTTCCCCAGCCCCTAAATTTTACTTTGAGACAAGGTCTCAGCTAAGTTGCCTGGCTGGCCTTCAACTCACTTTGTGGCCCAAGCACTTAGTCCTTGAACTTACAGTCCTCCTGTCTCTGCTTTCTTGCAGGTGGTGCTTTCCCCTTCACAGTGGGAAGAATCTCCCATGGATTCAACATGCGCCCAGATCTCTGTGCCCAAGACAATTCAACTGACCCAAGGAAATACCTTGGCTCCTTCTACACAGACTCCCTGGTACATGATCCTCGGTCCCTCAAGCTTCTGACAGATGTCATAGGAAAGGTAAGCTGGAGATCCTATTTGGATGCTTTATGGGGAGCAGAATGCTGGATCCACAACCTGCTAATTGAAAAATTGGGCAATTTAGGGGGACTGGAGACATTGCTTAGCGGTTAAGAACACTGACTGTTCTGCAGAAACTCAGGTTCAATTCCCAGCACCCACATGGCAGCTAACAACTGTCTGTATTTCCAACAGCCTCTTTCGTCCTCCAGGGCATTGCACGACACAGGTGCACTTACCTACATGCAGGCACTACACTCATACACATAAAATAATAAAGTACTTCTTTTAATTGGGCAATTTTTAGGGAAAAGAACAGTATGAGTTTCCCTTGATATCCAAAGGGAATTGATTTCAGGACCCCAAAAGATACTCGAACCCTCAAACGCATGATTATTTTCTATTAAATGGTATAGTTTTATATATATATATATAATATATATATAAAACCTACACACATCCTCCTAAATACTCTAGATGACTTACAATCTGTAATACAACGTAGATAGTATCTATATTGTATTTACTGTATTGCTTAGGGAATAATTCTAAGGGAAAAAGTCTCTACATGCTAAGTTTAAAAGCAGTTTTTCCCAGGTATTTTCTTTTTGTCTCATCTTTTTATTTTTTATTGGTGTATGTCATGTATTATGGGTTTCACTATGAAATTTTCACACATATATATGATCTATTTTGATTGTATTAATCCCCATCACCCTCTCTTGTCCCCTCCCACCCATCCCCTGTTTCTTCCCAACTAGCCCCCCTTCTACTTTGCCATCTTTTTTGAAGCTTATGTGAGAGGTTACCTACAGGAGTAGGTAAAATACTGTTTCAAGTTTTGTCAATGCACAGTTGGTTGGATGTAAAAATGTGGGACTTGAGAGGGTAGAAGATGAGAGTATGGAAGAACCAGTCCCATGTCAGTTCCATCTTAATGCTTCTAGATATCTGTAGAAGGTTTCCAAATTCTCCCAAGGAAAAAAATATTTAGGGTTTTCCAAAAGTATATAGATGTACTGCAAATATGAACAAGTAAGTAAGCACCAAAGCTGAGAAGAGAGAAACTGCAAACAAGTGTGGGCTCCAAGCTTTGAGCAGCAGAAGAGGGGAAAGAAGAGGTAGGGAGCTGCTGCAGAGCCATTTTGATTATGTCCCATCGAGCCCAGTGCTCTCTAGTATTCTTGAAAATGGGAACATCAAGAGAAAATACCACCAGAAAATTCAAAGCCCCTCATCTGAGCAACACCACCAGTAATGAGGGGTGCTATTCCTACCTTCAAATGGTGCCCATGGGCAGAGGGAGAGGAACATGGCAAGGACCCTATGATTTTCAGTGGGTAGACGAGGTATTAGGCACATGTGTGTGAATCCCTAGCTAGGCCCTCAAAAACTCAGAAGGCACTTTGCAAAGGTAATGGCTCTAGTACCTTGCATTCAACTGTGACAGCTTAAAGACTATAATTTGATCGTGAAAAGCTAATGTAACCTCGTTTTACATGACCTCACAGGCTGGTAAATCCAGGACATAGAAACTATGTGCATAAATAATTTAGGGTTCCTTTTAAAATAGTAATGCTTCCCCCATTGTAGCTATAGTCACACCAGCATAATTTTTTTAAAACCAACCCCCACATCAGAATGACACTGAACTTTTGTTTTATTTGTTGGGAGATTTCCTCAGTTTTGTTGATGATGTCTTTGATCAGTTTGCTTTTTTTTTTTTTTTAAGACAGGGACTCCCTATAGCCCCAGCTGGCCTGGAACTCACTATGTATACTAGGCTGGCCTCTGCGTCCCATGTGCTGGGATCAAAGGTGTGCAACATCATGCCCAGAAGTTTGCTTCTTTTTAAAGCTTGATTGATATATGTATAACTGTTTTACCTGCTTGTATATATGTGTACCTGGCATGTGTGCAGTGCTCTCAGAGGCCAGAAGAGGGCAACAGAGTCACCATGTGAACCAAACCCAGGTCCTCCTCAAGAGCAAGTGTTCTTAACATCTGAGCCATCTCTCCAGTCCCTATGTTTTAGATTTTTATTTATTTGTAATTTCTCATAGCTTATTATTTCTCAGTCATTTAAACAGTTTTAAGCCACCTGTTCTTATTGAGTGTAATACCTTTTCTTATCTCTCAGAATCTACTAAGAAGTTTTGCAAGTTTACTTACCCCTACAAGTCTTCCTCCAACTAGATGTGAGTGTGTGTATGTGGTGTGTGTGGTGAGGGTAGTATATATTTGTGAATATTTATGTGGATTTGTATGTGTGGTATGGTATATGTGTGTGGACATGTGTATTGAATGTATGTGGTGTGGTATGTGTGAGGTGTGGCATATGTGTATGTCTGTGTATGGTATGTGTATATTGTGTGGTGAGGTATGGGGGCGAGGTATGTATGTGGATGTATTTATTAATGTGGGTGGGGTACTGACCCACGAGATTCTGGGGATTCTTTCTCTACCTCCCATCTCTTACAATAGGAGGACTTGGCTCACTGACACACACTATTTTGTCTGGCTTTATGTGGGTTCTGGGGAATCCAAACTCAAGTCTTCATAAATGTTGTGTGTATGGATGGATGAATGGATGCATGTGGTGTTTGTGTAAATGTGGGGGGGTATAGTGTGTATGAATATATGTGGAATGTGTGTGTAGTATGGTGTTTGTGTATAAGTGTGGCATGTATGAATGTGTGTGTGGTGTATGTGGATGTGGCTGTTGTATGGTATGTGTGGTGTATGTGTGGGATAGATGTGTATGTATGCGTGTGTGTGTGTGGTATGGAGTATCTGGACATGTCTGTGGAGTGTGTGTATGTGTGTGTGTGTGTGTGTGTGTGTGTGGATGTGTGGATGTGGATGTGTGTGCTTATCAGTGCAGGTGTATGCATGCCATAACACATGTGGAGATCACAGGACAACCTTTGGTGTTAATCCTCATTTTCCTCCTTGAGACAGGGTCTCATGACTGCTATGTATGCCAGGCTAGCTGACCCATGAGCTTCTGGGGAGTCTTTCTTTACCTCCCATCTCTTGCAATAGGAGGACTTGGCTCACTGACACACACTATTTTGTCTGGCTTTATGTGGGTTCTGGGGAATCCAAACTCAAGTCTTCATGCTTGTGTGGTAAGCACTTTGCCCACTGACCCATCTCCCTATCACTCAGGTGGATTTCTGTCTTTCAGTCTCAGTCTTTCCTATTAAATAAACACCTTTCTTACATGTCTGTACTTTGTGCATGTAAAATGTTTTCATATCTAACTCCTGAGGCTGCTGACCTTCTTAGTTAACTTGATGTAGTCAGGGAAGACAGAGGGAATATTTCCCAAGACCGGATGTGCTCTGTGCTACACAGGTGTACACTTTAGCATGCTTAATTTTGCCTTATATGACCCTCACCTCATTTTTATTTTTGTGTGTATTTGAGTGTCTTGCCCATGTCAGGAAATGCCCATGGAAGCCAGAAGAGGGTGTCAGATCCCCTGGAACTGGAGTTATGGACAGTTGTTAGCCACCATGTGGGTGCTGGGAACTGTACCTGGGTCCTCTGGAAGAGCAGCCAGTTCTCAACCACTAAGCCATCTCTCTAGCCCCTCAAAAAATGTTAATGAAGAAACCTTTCTCTGTAAATTCGACTTTCAGCCCCTCCAAAATATATATTCATGTATTCTTTGCTTTAATTTTAAGCCATAAATTATTGTTCTATAAAACAGTGTTTGTCTCAAGAGTTAAAAAAATAGGTTCCCTTCTAGAAAAAGTAGTGCCATTCATTGTTTTTCTTGTTTGTTTGCTTTCTTGCTTTTCAAACACAGGCCTTTAATCTATAGGTTATAAAAGGAGCCAAAATAATACAAAACAAAAAAGAAACCAAGCTGGGCATGGTAGTACACACCTGTAATCCCAGCACTTGGGAGGTAGAAGCATGAATATGAGGAATTCAAAGCCATCATCAGGCACATAATGAGTTTCAGGCAGCCTGGGATACAGACCCTGCGGGGGAAGACAAAAAGAAAAGAAAAAGATGGGGAGGGAGGGGAGAAAAAGAAGAAAAGATGGAAGAAAGAAAAATGAACGTAAGTTGGTAACTTGTCAGGTCCAATGGCTAAAGCTTCGTTACATTTCTATCCCTTCTTCTACATCAAGAATCCAAAAGGTTTAGATTGATCTGGCAACACTAAAAAAGGTTCCTTATCATCAAGGATTTTAATATTTCCAGGCTATGGTAAGTAGCAGAGTATGCCATATTAATAGAAAACTTTCCAACAAAAAGGGTTTCTTGCTTGATAATCACCTAATGACATTAAAATTTTTGTTTGTTGCTTTTGAGAATTTCATACATGAGTATTATTTCCATCCCTCCCAGTCCCTCCTCCTCTCAATTTCTTGTCTCGTTCTTTTGACTGTTATTGTTTTTGTTTTTTGTTTTGTTTTTTTGTTTTTTGGGTTTTTTTTTTTTGGTCTTTTTGAAGACAGGGTCTTCCTGTAGCCCCAGCTGGCCTGAAGCTCACTATATAGAGCAGGCTGGCCTTGAACTCACAGACATCCACCTGCCTCTGCCTCCCAAGGGCTGGGATGAAAGGCATGTGTCACCACATCCAACTTGATTATTGTCATACACACACACACACACACACACACACACACACACATATGCATTGAGTCCATTTAGTGGTGCTCATGCATACCTGTGTTTAGGGCTATCTACTTGGGATTAGGTAACAACTCAGGGAGCTAATCCCTCAGCATCCACTGATTGCCGGTAGCTATTCATCTTGAAGCGGGACCCCATGGAATTTGCCCTATCCACCTTGGCATGTCAACTGGTTTTGGCATTATGCAGATCTTGTTGGACTATTACACTGTGAAGATTTCAGTGGTGTCGCTTTCCTATCATATCTAGAATGCATTAACTAGTAGCAGGTGTCTTGTCCCTCTGGCTCTTACAATCTTTCCACCCCCTCTCCCATAATGTTCCCTGAGTCACAGGTGTAGGGA